AGCATCTTGGAGCATGGATGACTATTACAAGGAGATGGAGATATTGATGATTAGGATGAATATTGAAGAAGATGGGAGGCCACCATGGCTCGATTTTTGAATAGGAAAATAGCGAATGTAGTGGAATTACAACATTATGTGGAGATGGATGATGTACTACATGTGGCTATGAAGGTGGAGAAACAATTGAAGAGGAAGGGGACTGATAGGTATTCATCGGGTTCTTCAGGTTCTAATCCTTCATGAAAATCGAAGTGGGATAACAAGGGTGATAGAGTTGTTTCAAAAGGGAGAGTTGAATTTCCAAAGGGAAAGAGGAGAATGCTAATAAAGTCCTAACCAAGGCAGAATCCCAACCATCAAGGAATCGAAATATCAAATGGTGTTTCGGGTCGGACCACATCACTTCTTAATGTCCAAACAAAAGAGAGATGATTTTGCAGGATAATGGAGAGGTTTTGAGTGAAAGTGAGAGTGATTATGAAGGCATGCCAGAATTGGAAGAAATTAGCGATGAAGTAAAGACGGAGTATGCCGTGGGTGAGTTAGTGGTCACGAGGTGAGCTCTTAGTTCTCAAATCAAGGCGGATGACTTGGAGCATCAACGGGAGAACATATTCCACACAAGGTGCCACGTCAACAATACGGTATGTAGTGTTATTGTTGATGGGGGCAATTGCACTAATGTAGCTTGCACTACACTTGTAGAAAAGTTGGGGCTTACTTCGTTAAGACGCCCCAAACCATATAAATTGCAATGGTTGAATGATAGTGGTGATATTAAGGTGAATTAGAGGGTCTTGATTAATCTTTCTATTGGGCGGTACAAAGATGAGGTTGTGTACGACGTAGTTCCTATGCACGCTGGACATATATTGTTGGGTAGACCATGACAATATGATAGGAATGTGATGCATGATGGGTATAAAAATAGGTATAGCTTTATAATGGATGGAAAATCAATTACCCTTGGACTATTAACACCACAACAAGTGTTTAATGATCAAATTAAGTTAAAAGGTGAGGATGAGAGGAGAGTGAAAGAGAAGGAGAGTAAGAGAAAAAATTGTGAGGTGGCTAATAGAGAGGAAAAAATAGTGGAGCCACAAGATCAAAGAAAAAGCAAATGAGAGAAAAAAAAAAGAAGATGAGAGAAAAGAAAAAGAGAGGAGAGAAAAAAACGAAAGAAAACTTTTTTGCAAAGGGGAGTGAGTTGAAAAGAGCGATAGTCAATAGGCAACAAATTATTCTTTTGGTATACAAAGAATCACTCCTCAACTGTGAGGAGCCTAACATATCCCATTTCAAGATGTATTCCCGGAAGACGTGCCTACTGCGTTACCACCCATTCGAAGCATTGAACATCAAATTGATTTTGTACTTGGAGCTGTCATTCCAAACCGAATAGCGTACCGTAGTAATTTCGAGGAGACTAAGGAGCTTCAAAGGTAGGTGGAGGAATTGTTAAACAATGGGTATGTGTAGGAAAGTATGAGTCAATGTGCCGTGCAAGTACTACTTGTATCAAAGAAAGATGAAATCTGGAGGATGTGTGTGAATTGCAGGGCCATCAACAACATTACGGTAAAGTATCGTCATCCTATCCATAGGTTCGATGATATGTTAGACGAATTACACAGTGCATGCATATTTAGTAAAATTAATCTTAAAAATGGTTACCATCAAATTAGGATGCGAGAAGGGGATGAGTGGAAAACTGCTTTTAAAACCAAATATGGGCTATATGAATGGTTGGTTATGCCATTTGGACTTACAAATGCAGCTAGCACTTTCATGCGATTAATGAATCATGTTTTGCGTGCATTCATAGGTAAATTCATGGTAGTATACTTCGATGACATCTTAATTTATAGTAAGGACTTNTAGTATGGACTTGAATGAGCATATAGAACATCTAAAGTGTGTGCTTGTGGTTTTAAGAAAAGAACAACTTTATGCTAATTTTAAAAATGTACATTTTGGCATGGAAAAAGTTGTATTTCTTAGATATGTTGTTAGTGCTCAGGGAATAGAAGTGGATGGAGATAAAATAAAAGCTATTAAAGAATGGTCGACACCTAAAAACATAACTGAGGTTAGGAGTTTCCATGGTTTGGCTAGTTTTTATAGATGATTTGTTAAGGACTTTAGCACACTTGCCACACTGCTCACGAAAATTGTTAAAAAGAGTGTAGCATTTAAATGGGACGTGGAACAAGATCCTACATTTAAAGTTATTAAAGATAGATTGTGTAAAGCATTGGTTTTAGCGCTACCTAATTTTGATAAAGCTTTTAAAATTGAATATGATGCGTCGAGAATAGGTATTGGCGCTATTTTGATGCAGAATGGAAGATCAATTGCGTACTTCAGTGAGAAACTATGAGGGGCAGCACTCAATTATCCTACAAATGACAAGAAGTTGTATGCGCTTGTTCGAGTTTTGGAGACTTGGCAGCATTATCTATGGCCAAAGGAGTTCGTGATCTATACTGACCATGAGTGCTTGAAGCATTTGATGGGCCAAGGGAAGCTAAACAAGAGACATGCACGCTGGATGGAATTCATTGAGACATTCCCTTATGTCATCCGGTATAAACAAAGTAAAAAGAATGTAATAGCAGACGTGTTGTCTCGGAGGTATGTGTTTCTTACTTCTCTGAGTGCGAAATTGCTTGGATTTGAATACGTTAAGGACATGTATGTGAATGATTCAGATTTCTCTGATATATACGAGTCATGTAGTAAAGGGGCTGTTTATAGGTTCTTTAGGCATGATGATTATCTATTTCAGAAAAATAAGTTACGTGTTCCTAAATGTTCAATGAGGGAGTTGTTGGTAAGAGTATTACATAGTGGGGGTTTGATGGGTCATTTTGGGATTAAAAAGACTTTAGAGATGTTAGAAGAATATTTTTATTGGCCTAAGATGAAAAATGATGTTGGATATGTTTGTAGTCGATGCATAACGTGTAAAAAGGCTAAATCAAAGGCTTTACCACAAAGATTATATACATCATTACCTGTACCTAGTAAACCTTGGGTTGATATTTCTATGGACATTGTTTTGGGTTTACCTAGGACTAAGAAAGGACGGGATTCAATATTTGTCGTGGTAGATAGATTTAGTAAGATGGCACACTTCATTCTTTGCCATAAGACTAATGATGCTACGACCATTGCAGATTTGTTCTTTAAGAAAATAGTATGTTTGCAGATTTGTTCTTTGATCGGGTCGTAAAATTCCTTAGTCAGGGTTTTGTGGAATAAGTTAGGAACTAAGCTATTATTTTCTATAAGTTGTCACCCACAGACCGATGGCCAGACTAAAGTAGTTAATAGGACTATGATCCAATTGCTATGCACTATGATTAATAAGAATTTGAAGAGTTGGGAATAATGTTTACCTTTCCTTAAGTTTACATATAATAGGGCCATACATACTACTTCGTTTTCACCATTTGAAATTGTTTATAGTTTGAACCTACTAATATCATTGGATTTGATTCCTTTGCCTGTTAATAACCGTGGTAGTCTAGACGAAAAGAAGAAAGCAAAATTGGTAAAAGCATTTCATGAAAAGGAAAAATTACAAATCGAGCAGAAAAATAAGCACTATGCTTCACAAGTAAACAAAGGGCGGAAGAGCGTTACATTTGAACCCGGTGATTGGGTTTGACTACATTTGAGAAAAGAACGCTTTCCACAAAAACAAAAGTCAAAGTTGCAGCCACGAACAGATGGTCATTTTCAAGTCATTGAAAGGATCAACGATAATGCTTACAAGTTGGATCTTCCTCGTGAGTATAATGTATCAGTTATTTTTAATGTAACTGATCTCTCTCCTTTTGATGTAGGTTCAGATTCGAGGACGAATCCTCTTGAAGAGGGAGGGGATGGTGTGATCTAATGTAAGGATGCAACGGGGATGATCCCGGGGAAGGATCCATTGATCATCAAAGGAGGATCGATGACTCAATTAAGGGCAAAGCGGGTCAAGGAAGTGATAGGGTTGCTGGCTCATGTTACGGTGGACAAGACATTGACTAGGGCAAGCCAAACGTCAATTTCCATGTTGGGCTCGGGGCGGAAGTCCAATGGATCACATTGATCGATGCAGAAAACAAGGAGGTTGAAATTCATAACTATGCGACCACATAGTTATTTCAGCCATGCGGTCTCGCATGGTTCAAACATGAGGAGAAAATTTCATTTTCACAAATTTTCCTTATTTTATTAAGAATTCTATTTTTATCGCAATTTTTTGTAACCCTAGCAAGTTATTTCCTTTTCACGAATTTTCTTTATTTTACTATAATTCTATTTTTATCGCAATCTTTTGTAATCCTAGCAAGTTATTTCAGATTCAACAAGGGTTTTAGGTTTTTCCTATAAATATTGACATTATATTCATTGAATGGACAATCTACATTATTATTATTATTGAGAATTAATCGTAAGGCTTTTAACTTTCAAATCCCTTGTTCTTCATTAAGCAATTACGAAGTTATCAAGAATCAATTTCTTGTGATGTTCAAACATTCGGGTTAGATTTATAAGTCGTGTAATCAAGAGGTCAACATATTGTAAACGATTGTGTTGGTTGCTTGGTTTATTAATTTTGGGTCGAGTCCAAAACCTTTTAGCTTTCTTGGATTGGTTCTAATTTCGTTGTGGGTTGCGTAGCTACTATTGCTACATGGTTCTCATCAGTTGCCGCTTGCCTTTGCTTTTACTGGAACTGACAGTGGAAAAAAAGGAGATTGAATTTTATGAACATCGATTGATGGCTGTTTTGGTTGATGTTTGTCCATGGTTGAGGTCGTTTAGGTGTGGATTAACCACCTGCAGTGGTATGGGCATCACTTTGGAAGTCGAATTTTGCACAAATTCCATTCAGTTCTTAGTGGCTAATTTTGGTTGGGATGCTATTTTGGTTGATGTTTGTCCATGGTTGAGATTGTCTACGTGTAGATTAACTACCGTAGCGTTGCGCGATCATGGGCATCATCGCGGAGGCCGAATTTTGCACAGATACCGTTCGGTTCTTGGTGGTTGATTTTGGCCAGAATCTTTTACAGTTTGGTTCAATTGTTGCTTTGGTGGTTTACTTGGTTATTTTGTTGTTTTGGTTGTTGGTATTTGCTTTGGTAATGAGTAGGTTGCTTGTTTACAGTTTGCAAATGGTGGTTATGATCAGGGGCGGTGGTTATGATCAGGGGCAGAGGTAGAAGTTTAAAGTTAACATGGTACAATCGAACTTGTAAAGAAATTTGGAGAAATTTTAAAATCGAAAATTTACGTTCGAAAAAATCATACCCATGTAATTTTGCATCCAAAAATTTACATAAGATATGGCATTTTCAGATGTAAAATTTCGAAATTTTTTTATGTCATATTCAATATAAAATTTCCTAATAAAATGATGTAAATTATATTGAGAAATTTATATTGTAAAAATAATAAATGTTAATGAAATAATTGAATTTTTTTTAAAGAAAATGCGAGTTCAAACACATTTCTTTAAAACCTGTGTTTAATGCATTTTTAACTATTTTCGATATTTGTTTGGATTATTCGATATTCGATATGCTTATAATGTAGTTCTCGAAATAAGTTTTGAGATGACACGAGCAATTTGTAGATTTGATTAGCGTGCGATTGTCGAAATTTTTTAAAAGTTAGCATGTTATTGAAATTTTCGAAATACTAATTTTGAACCTCTTACGTTGATAAGTCGTAACATTTGCTAAAATTGATTGTATCGTACGCCATTAACGACGTAAAAAATTAGACCGTGAACACTTCGAAATAGTATTAAGAATGCAATATTTTGCCCTTATTTGATGGAGAGTTAAGATTTTGTTAAAAAGGTGAGAGAAATAGAGAAAAATTAAAATTTATTGTGATTTTGCCCATATTTGATGGAGATTAAAATCAAATTTTTAGTAAATTTTGATAAAAGTTAAATAGTTATGAATTCCATGAAATATGTTATTAAAATTAATTATTAACTTTGATTTAAATTCAAATTTATATTCCAATGGATACCAAACATGATTATATATATATATATATATATAACTCAAAAGTTTGGGGAACACGTGACCCCCCCGGGTCCGCCCCTAGTTATGATGGTGCGATAGTGGTGGTTGTGGTGCGATAGTGGTGGTTGTGGTGGAGTTTTAGTGGTAAAGGTGGTGGTTGGTGGTTTTCTATTTCGATGTGTTGTGGTAGTGTTGACAGTGACGATGGCGATGGTGGTGGTGGTGATGGTGTGGGATTTGAGTTGAATTGGGGTTGTATAAAGAGGGTTTGTGACCAAGGTTAGAGGTTCATTGTGCATAAGCCACACATAAATTTCGACAAGTCACAGATCGAATAGGGATAGGTTGGATTGGATTGTAGTTGTATAAAGAGGGTTCGTGACAAATTATTTAGGTCATTGGTGTGGTGGTGGTGATAGGTCACATGTCACATGTCATTGTATAGGACACATATTAAACAAAACTAGTCACAGATCATGTTTGCAGGCCACAAGTCACAATTTAAAGGTGGTGGTGATAGGTTACATGTTACATATACCAGGTCACAAGTATTGTACATAGGTCACAGAAAATGTCCTTAGGTAACAGATCAAACAAAATTATTCACCGATCATGTTTGTAGGTCATGGGCCCCAATCAACAGGTCACATATATCAAAATTAACTGGTTACAGACCATATGTCATATGTCTTTGTGAACTAATAATATGTCACATATTCAAGTTCGTGGGTCATAGTTTATTTGTTACATGTCATATTGCATGGGTAAGATCAATATCCACGAGTCACAATTCTAAGAAACTTGGTCACAATTCATTGGAACATTATCATATATAACAGTTACAGGTTACATGTTTCATGTTAAGGTGCATAGGTCACATGTCATTGATTTCTCCGACCTTGGTTCTCCGAATTGGTCACAAATTCAATTAATCAGATTTCAGTGGTGAGAATTAAAGTTATTTGCTCTGGTAAGCACTCTATAGATTTCACCAGGGGTTGTTCTTCAATGCCAATTTTTAAAAATGGATTTAAATTACACTAGTGTTGCTCAGTTGCCGCTGAAGAAGATGATCAGTCATCGACTATGCTCCATCAATCTTCTTTAATGGCCGCTATGTTTTTTCCTCTCTCTCTATTATCTGAGTCAATGCTCAGTTGTCGTTGAGTGGTGATCAGTTCCCATATGAAGAAAAATATTCAAACGCCAATGATCTCTGTCGATTCTATCTTTCCTTCGACGAAATCGTTTGGATGCCGGCGACAATAAGAAAGGATGACGATCGACAGATGCCGGTGACGGTGGCCCACACTCGAAAAAGATTGAAATTATTTTATATATAATTTTTTATTTAATTAACAGAATATAATTACCACCCGAGTTTTAAAAATGTGAACTTATTCTCTTAAAATTTAATTGGGCTAAACTTAAGGCCCGGATATGAATTTTTCCCTTATACTAATATTCACACATAAACCCCATTACATTTATGATTTACCTACCTCTCTCAACTTCTAACCGTTATTCTTTCAATTAATTAGAATTTTAATTTGGTGGCCAAACTATGTCAAATCATGAGAGATTCTAGTCATTAGCATTTACTGAAATCTTTCAAGGTGGGTATGGAATTGAATCATATATCAAAATTGACAGGTTTTAGTTCAATGATATTTAGTTCTCCTTATGCTTTAGAAAAATATTGTAAATATAAATTATTGTACATGATTTCTTGTTTCATGTTGGTGCCCCATCTCAAGGGCTACCACGAACCCACCTTTGAAGTGATTAAAGAAGTTTTATTTTGAAATTTTCAACAGCAATGTGAGGTCAGACCATAAGACCCATCTATTGAGAATAGAAAAGCCGCTGCTATATGAAAACACCATCATAAATAAAATAAAGAAATGTCCCTAGTAACGTCAACACCTTCATGGTAGCCAATCAAAGACGGACATGTGTCACCAATGTCGTTAGCACCATCATGTTCACCGATCAGGAGGAAACAATGATTGTCTAGACTATAGGTATTGATGAGTAGACAACAAGCAATGGCCTAGACATCACGATGGTCCAACTTGGTAAAACTCTTCAACCAATCAAATCTCTTCAAACAGAACGGTGACCGACGAATCCGGGCTGTACACCAATATTTGACAAGATAGAGGATTAAAAACACCTATTGAAAGAACTATATAAATGGCCATGGTCTCCTACAAAGTCCGAACTATACATTTCCACTGTAACACATCAATAAACACTTCCTCATGAAAATTACTCTTTCTCCATTATGTTCTAACAATTAAATATCGTTATCTTGCAAAAGTTCTCTTAAATTGATCTATAATTACCATGCCAATTTTAATCAAAATTTCACTTTCATGCTTTATGTTCCACCCCAAAAAAGTGTTGATTTTGAGTATATATGAATTCAAGTAAATTCATAAAAAATAATTTAGTGGTGAATTTCATTGAGAGATTATAAAAAGTAATGTTTGCGTCAAATTATAATTCTTTAAATAGCAAGAATCGAGAATGAAACAGTATCACTCGATTTTCGATATCTAAGAATTAAAACCAATTAAATTTTAATTTAAATCCAATCGAATTGAATAGTAGGTTCAAGTTCAATTGAATTATGGTGTTTGTGTTATCAATTATGCTAAATTTGACTATGTGCCACATGTTGAAGCACGATTGGTCAGTTTGAAAATACAACACACTTACTTTCCCGCCACTCCATTTTTGAACTTGCAAAGGAGTGTCAAACTCCATTTACACAAGCAGTGTACAAGGAGCATAATTCTTATGTTATTATTGTCATAGAAGTAGTGATCAAAACCATTAATTAGACATGAAAAGTAGATCGTACTGTTCAAGGCACTCAAAAGGATAAATGCCACTTAAATGAGTTTTTCCTTGTAAGCTTTAATGAAATAACAAAAAACCCCATAATACTCTTCTTAGGGTTACATAATGGTCCTAATCAGCACACTTTGGTGCAATATCATGATTCCTGTGGACTCCATATAGATTTTCATAGCACTATGATTGAGTACCCTCTTTCTTATGGAAAATGAACAAAAGTGCCAATTCCACTCTAAGTGGACAAAATAATTCTTGAACTAACACGATATAAATAACATAATTGAACTTTTAACTAATAATGTAAAGAAAATCGTACTGATAATATGTTTAAATGGTCACATAATGAGTCTTATATACCCCAATAATCTACCTGAATGCAAGTTAATAAGCCCGACAATCTCGACCCACATCGTGCCATATCCGATATAGACCGAGTTGTTTTGAATAGGATGTTGATTCTTTGTACAGACTAATTAAACGTGTGGTTGCTTAACTTACTTTAGAATGAACAATGATGCTACCTCGAAATTTCATAAGTCAACTTTTCTCACCTCTTTCTTCCGTAGACCATATTGGTCTTATCTACATAATTAAAATCTTCTTGCAAACTTCCGTGTTCCAAGGTGCAAAATGTGTCCCAATCAAATCTACGTATATAACTCCAAATAAAACTTCTCCTCTCTCTGAGACATGTACTCTATTTCTCCACCTTCATCAATCCATATTTAAATCCAGCTTGTTACTCTTCTGATTAGGTGTTATTTTGCATGATTTTGAGCGCGAGTAACAAGTGAAGAATCCTCTGTTCGACTCTATCTATCCCACTTCAGTTGAGGTTTCGATTTTCCTTGAAATAGTTATGGAGTTCTTCAAAGAGGCCAAGGCTGTTAGCCTCAGAAGCCACTTGAACAAATACCTAGTAGCAGACGATGATCAAGTATCAACCCGGCAGAGTAGAAACGGTTCAGCACGAAAAGCTCGGTGGCTAGTCGAGCTAGTAGACAGCAATCCCCACGTCATCCGCCTCAAGAGCTGCCATGGCCGGTACCTCACCGCCTCGGATGAGGCTTTTCTGTTAGGCATGACAGGTCAAAAAGTTTTCCAAACCTTGCCTGAAAACATCAAGGACCTAAAAATTGAGTGGCAGCCTATAAGAGATGGGTTTCAAGTGAGGCTAAAGGCCTTTGGCGGCACGTATTTACGTGCCAACGGAGGAATGCCACCATGGCGGAGTTCGATTACACATGATTGTCCTCACAGTTTTTCTACACAAAATTGGATTTTATGGGATGTAGAGGTCATTAAAATTCCAGAAAATGAGTCTTTGACCGATTATTTATCGATGGTTTCGAGTTTATCTTCGGTTTCTGATGAACTGTCGGGTTTGGAGATCGGGTCACCAGAATCGATATACTCCGGTTATTCTCCTTCCCCCAGATTACACTCACGTCACTCTCCGTCCCCCAAATTATCTGTGAAAAAGGTACGTTTGTTGTCTAATATTATTAACGCTCCGCCATTTACCCAAGATAAATGTTAATACGATGCTTCTTAATTTATGTTGTTTCACACCATAAGGTAAGAAATAGCACTCTCATCCGAATGAAGAATTCAATTTTGTCAATTTTAATGGTCCCACCAAAAAGGGTTTTCAATGGTATTTTGAAGAATAATACTAGGAAAAAAGAAAATTCAAATTTGGACTTTGGTTCATGTGCAACACGTTAATACATAATTTTCATCTTGGTATATTCACATAAGGTAGACCAAGAAAACGTTGTTGGAAAATCTTGATTAGCTTAAGAAAAAGTTGTTGGAAAATCTTGATTCGAACAAGAAAAAGTTTTTGGTATAGGGTCGCATCCAAAGCTGACTAGATTAGCTTCCAGATTAGAATGCTCAAAGAATAGTCTATTTTGGTGTTCCGATCATCTGTACTCTTTAGAGTCCTAGTCTGTTAATTCGTGTTCCAATGGCACAAAATCAAACTATGAGTTAAGCTATTTTGCCAGAAAATGTTGTCCACCTAGTTGGTAGATGTAGTGTTGACAGGGTATGATTAGACATAAAAACTGATTGTTTTTTAAACAGTTCAACGACAGAATGTGGCATTCTGTCAAGAAATGTGTCAAATTTTTTTGGCAATGTTGCAAAATTCTCGAACTATTTTTCACAAATTTCCACCAGTGATTCTTTGCCTTTTCGAGTTTGACATTGCCTCATTTTAATCATCATGATCAGTGCGGAAATGTAGTTAAAAGTCCATAAACCAAGTCTTTACATTAATGTCATGGACAGTAGGATAATTAAAATATATGATAATTCTATAAATGATGACTGCGTTAAAATATGATCGATATCATAATGACATCTGACAAAATTAGTGATATGAGACAATTATAGTCGATATGATTCATTTATCATTTTAGAATTCTCATCCAACTCTATCCATACTCTCAAATGAATAACTTCATATAGCAACAGTAGCCCTTCTAATGTCATCTTACTGGATTTCATTTTGTTTCTTCGTTGTTCTTTTGTACTGTCATTTGAATGAAGACATTAATCAACTTGACTTTCACAAATTTCCACCACTGACTATTTGCCTTTCCGAATATGAAATTGTCTCTTATCAGTCATGGTCGATGAGGGAATGTAGTTTCAAGTCTACAAATGATGTTCGCAGTTAGACATTGAACTGTGACATATGTGAACATGTGACATTGAGTCATATATACGAACATATCCTTGTAGTAATCAAACTTTGTACAATCCAACCTAAAAAACTCCAGAAACCCAATACTATTTCAACTAATTCCTTCACTTTTCTGTCTGAAAATCTTTCAATATTACAGAGCAATTTGAGTATAACAACAAGAACAACAGCAATGGATCTGTTCCAAAATGCCAAGGCAGTGAGACTCAAAAGCGTCCATGGCAAGTATTTAACAGCAAAAGAAGATGAAGAATCAGTGACTCAACATCGGACTGGTTCATCCAAGAATGCAAAATGGACAGTAGAATTTGTCGAAAATTCCGACAACATAATCCGCCTGAAAAGCTGTAACAATAAGTACTTGACAGCATCAAACAAGCCATTTTTGCTGGGTATGACGGGCCAGAAAGTGCTACAAACGCTGCCAGGGAGGCTTGATTCTTCGGTCGAATGGGAACCCATTCGAGAGGGCAATTCTGTGAAGCTCAAGACGAGGTACTGTTAACCCGTCTAGTCTAAAAGTTTAAGATATTAGGTAGACGATACCCGTAATGGTTAAACAACCGTGCTACAATGCTAGAATTATTTGCTCACTTTGTTGACAGAATGTCCCGTAATATTCTGTCGTTGGACTGGTTAAAAAACAATTAGTTTTTGCACCCAAGCATCTGTTGCCAACACTGCATGCATCTGTCAAGTACCTGGACAAAAAATTCTGTTAAAATGGTTCATTCCTTAGTTAAAATCTTGTCTCCAACAGATACGGACACTTTTTGCGGGCAAATGGCGGGTTGCCGCCGTGGAGAAACTCTGTTACTCATGATATCCCTCATCGGACTGCAACCCAAGATTGGGTTTTGTGGGATGTGCAAGTGGTGGAAATCTTGGTTATGTCACCGGCGTCGGCGGCGGCGCCAGTTTTGGTTGATGACTCGGATTCTTTTGCTTCGGGTTCTAGTTCGCCGTCGACCTCTTCCTTAAATTCTGCTAGCTTTTCTGGACCAAAGGTACCTATTTAATCTTGTTTGAGACTCTCTTCAAATTGGAATCGAATAAAGTTAATCTAAAATAGTTATTCAGAGCTTGGAATTGGGAATATAGAAATAAAAGATAAAAATAAATTTAAGGGTAAGTTCTAGTCATTGTGGTTCTAACAAATTTTCAATCCATTATGATGTTTCGAAAACAATCATTTCGGAGAATATTATTTCGTTTCTTTTATACTCTGATTCAAGTTCCATTATTACTTATTAGCTTCAGTTTTCTTAGTGTAGTGCTGGATTCTGACTATATGTTGGGTGGGTTCCTTTGCAGTTGAATGATTCTTTGGTTATTTCACAAACGAAGGGGAGCGATAGCAGATTGATTTACTTTCGTATAGCCAATGAATATCAGGAAATTGACGAGGGGTTTGAGGAGCTTTGTACTACATTCAAGGGAAATGGAGTTCAAGAACTGACGAAAAGGTTAGAGGAGGAATTGGGAGTCAATGATATTACTGTATGTACACGAAGTCCATTGAATGGGAAGCTTTATCCTCTTCGTTTACAGCTTCCTCCCAATAATGCAACTATGCACGTCATTGTGGTTCCGACCTCAACACAAGGTAATCTTTTTCTTTTACTATACATCTTTTCATATGCAATACAAAGTATTGGTGATTCTGAATTTAAGATTATCTTGATTGATGATGAACACGTCTAATTCCAGTATGCCAGTGGCAGAAACCGGGACTCTAATCACGAGCTAGATCTTTAACCCTTGCATATTTGGCACTTCATGTGTCCTTCCTTCACAAGTGTAGTGAGTAAAATGAAACTTTTAGTTCATCAATTTTTATGTCCTCTAGGTATCATGCCATGGCTTAGCCAGTGGAAGAGTTTTTCAGTGAACAATATTAATTTGCTCATAGTTGGAGGAGAATCCATCCAGCGTAGAACTACGTGAATATTCGTGTCAAGAAGGAAAACAAAAATTGTTTAAAGCTATTTCTATTGTGAGTTATATGGAGTTGATCTGTGTTCCCAGTACGGATTAAGTCCGAATCTGTCTTCCTGGTTATGATCAAAGCCCTAATACCTATTCTGAACTTCCAAGAGCAATAATCAGAAAACAAGCAGAACACCCAATATAAATATGAAAAGAAGAGTTCAAGATTTTCTGCTAAAATCCTTAGATAGAATATTAGGTCGATTTGTGGTTGAGGGATACAATTAGCGTCCACACAGTCCAACAATGCCAAGTAAATTTCTAGAAATTTATTTCGTTACTTTTGTTATATAACTTTATATGTTCGTTTTAAGTTTATCTTTTCGCTTTCTTCCCACTTTATTCGAGTGTATGAGCGAAATGCATCCTATATCTTTTCTACATTCCTATCATTTAGTTCTTAATCGAACTATGTCTTTCAGCGTGATTAGACTTTATCATTTCCATTTTGTTGAATACCACTGTTACAGGTTGCACTGTATCTGTTAGTGATGTTTGATTTGGCAATGTACCTATCTTCATTTAATTTTTATCGATCTTTCATGTATTCTTCTTTTTTGGGTGTATCAGCATCTGGAGATTTGATGGCATCAGGAATGCCATTGTAGAAGGAACTCAAAAGTGCACAGCATGAGTTCAGCCTTCCATGGTGCTCGCTAGATTTCGAGTTAGCTCTTGGTGCCTTTGCACCTTGATGATTGTTGAACTCGTGAATATTTGTAAATACATTCTATACAAACTACAATAGTGCCTTTTTAGCTTTTTGAACTTTCTTTCTTCTTNATTATTTGCACTTGAGTCCTCAAACTTGCTTTTACCACATTTATGCCTTTTTTCGCTTGTTTTTCCTAATTTCCACCACGATCATCATTATTGTCCTGTAAACACATATTACATCGAATTAAGCTATATTCCGCACATTTATCGACAATTATCCATGTTTGTGGCCTATAATAAGTGTATAACAATGCACTTATCACTACACAATAACCATAATTGCAATTATAAAAGGGAAAGAACACGATACTGAGCAGACCACATCTGAAGGTCTGTAAATGTCGTGAGATACGAATTCACCGCTTTAAGGCTATCACTATTCGTCCCAAATCTTTCGGTAACTGCAGCAACACAAAATGACACCCGAACGTCAAAGGGAAAAATCGTCCAATTTCAACCGTATCGCCAAAAACTGAAAACGGTCACCACCATAAGGTTCGCCATGCCACCAGAAACATTCTGCCTGAAGACGTCGTCGTCGGAAAAATTCCCACACGCCTGCTCGAGGCACCACTGTTAGCATGGGCTTCACGCGCCAGACCACTAGGTGCTCCTTCGCCTGCACAGTCCATCGATGGTCGCCATTTCTCCAATGGATGAGTGATTTCGTCAGAAAACGTAAAAATAGGTCGAGCAGAAATTTTAAAAAACTACGTAGTTTCTGTCTCTATTTTTCTGCCTATTTCCAGCAACGTTTTAGGACACTTTTGGTCAATTTTTCACTCCAAAAATCATAGTTCACAACTACCCAAGTCTGATACCATTCGTCACGTAAATCTTCGAGAAATCTTGATCCAGGTTCTATTTAATCAACCAAACAAATACCAACCGAGGATGCTCAACCCACAGCTTTACCCTTGGTTGCCACAAGTTTATTCACCCACAAAGGAAGAGGAAATAGAGTAGCAACTGGAACCTCAAGGAAGAAGAATCAAAACCGACCAACCCTCACATTTTTCTCTCTTTCTCTCAAACCAACACACACTCTCAACGGCTGGAAAGAGATGGATATATATAGCACTAGTTAGGTCACTCCAATTGAGCCAAAGTTCACTAAATGGGCTGCCATTTAAAGACGACAACTAACCGATAATAAATGGTATCACCATCCAACTAATAACCACAACTTGGGCCATCCATGAGTGTTGGACCACAAATAACATTAACTCAATTAAGTTGCTTCTAATTGCCTCAAGTTATTTTTTGGTCGAGCCATCACTAAGATGTTGATATAAATTATCCAACGTCGGTTTAACATCATCGTTCGAGATTTATTGGATATCAAAAAACCCAATAGAACCAAACCGAAAATCAATGGTTCTTTGATAATGGAACCATTTGTAGTATTGGAATTGAACCGAAACCATAAGCATTCGGTTTCGATTTGGTTTGGTTCCATAACCAAACTTTGAAAGAGAAAAAAGTTTAGTGAAAAAAAAGGAAAAATGGTACCACCAGCACTTTCATGGATTTAATTTATTGTATTTTGGACAAGAAATGTTCTAAGTTATGGCAAGCGTTGGAAGATTTGTATATGTCTAAATCTGTAACAAATATGTTATATGTGAAAAGGCAATTATATGAATTGAGGATGAATCTGAATAAATTTAATTAGTGTGTGACGGAGTAGTTAAATGTTGATGTTAAGATTGAGGACGAAGATAAGCCGATTATTTTGTTGTCTTCCTTGCCTAGGTCATATGAGACGTTGGTGACTACGCTATTAGTTAAAAAATTTACTTTGAAAGAGAATGGTGTTTCAACGAATCTGTCAGGAGAGATGTGGTGTTACTACAACCACAAGAATGGAAACATTAGTAGAAATTAGAAAAGTTTATTGAAACAAATATGAGTTAAAGAGTTTCAAAAGGCCTCAAATCGTACGAATATGGGTGATGATAATATTAAGAGTGATAATGATTTCTATTGTGCCGCAAATTATGATTCTCCAAGTACATATCGGATTTTCGGATTCCAAATGTTTACCATTCGATATGTTTGATTTTATTCATATTCTGAGGATTTCAAGCTTGTTGGATATAGTGATAGTGCTTGGACAAAGATACGAAAGATAGAAGGAACACAGGTGGTCATGTCTTCTTTATGGAAGATATGACTTTTACAATCTTCATAGAAGCAACAGGTTGTTACGCTTTCAAGTTGTGAACCGGAGTATGTTGTTGTTGCATCTTGTCTTTGTCAAGCAATTTAGCTTATAAATTTGTTGAAGGAAGTTCATTTGCAGCAAGATGATCAAATCGAGATTTTTGTTGATAACAAGTCAACATCATGGATGGCTAAAAAATTATATTTTTCCTGATCAAAGCAAGCACATTGGTATGAATTAGCATTTTGTTTGAAATTTTATTGACAAACAACACGTGGAGTTGAAGTTTGCGAAGTCTCAAGATCATATTGTAAAAAATTTCACTAAGCTAAAGATCGATACATTTCCAAAGTTTAAAAGTTTGCATTGAGTTACCATAAATGAAGTTTAAGGAGGGTATTAGAAATATAATCTTTATTAATTTAATTTAGATAAGTTAATTTTTATGTCTTTAGGTATTTTTCATATACTAGTTAATGAATACTTTAGGTATTATTCATATGTTATAAAAGGCTAGTGACAGTACTCATTTTTAGTAAGTGAAGTGAAGCCAATTAAATGAAAGTTGAGTGTGCTCTTGAAATCATCCTTAGGCATTTGGCATCATTTCCATGGAACTTCGAAATGAAATTCCATCTTCCATCAAAAAACAATTTTGATTGGGAAAATTTTCTTGACAATTCATTTTTTTGGTTTTGGCTCACACGGTGCCAATTCATTGATTTTGAGGAAAATCAATTCCCAGTTTACTTCTTTTTTCAATTTTAATTTTTTTTTTGGCAATGGAAACAAATTTTGTCCCCAATTGTAAAAAATTATATCCCTTTAATGGACAATTTTCATGTAAAACAAAGTCAAACGAATATCAAAAGATCCAAAATTTTAATATTTCTCACTTGAAAAATTATAATAATCAAACACAATTAATTGACAATTCTCAGGAAAACAATTCTAGGCAATTCAATTCCCTGTAATTCATTTTTTTCACCCAAATTTCACTTTTACAATCAAACGGACCCTTATTGTTTGTTCATCTCCAAATTTTCAGTAGATATTAAGATTCGACTGAAAGCATAGTTACTATTTTTCTGGACATTATTCGATCAAATGAGAGCCTTTTTTGATCAAAAGTGTTGGAGATATTATACCGATAATGTGCATATTATATTCATCAAGAACATGCCGTTAATATGTGTGAAATCGAAATATCATTCGACTTACCGAAATCTGATTTGAAAAGACAAAATAGTGATTACCGACTTCCAATATATGAATATGGATTCATCACTTTTCAATCTTGAACACGTGTCATTCTTTAATTCAAACCTTGCATGAAATC